CCCTGCACCTCTGCGTCTCCACTGCCGAACCAACAAAGGAGGAACACGCCAGGGCTCTTCCCACATCCCAGGATGAGCATTCAGCGCAGCTTGAGTTCGCGCCGGGACGACGTCTACACCAGCTGCTTTGAACTGTCGCGGAACACTACGCGTCAGTCTCTCCCAGGCCACATTCCAGCGTTTCATTTGAGCCTCCGCCATCATCCTTCTCTCATCGTCTTGCTTGTCCGGATGCAGTGCCAATGCAACTTGCTTCCGCCGCGGCTTCAAAATGTATCGGAACTCATCCTCCGACATGTCCACAATATGGGATTGCTTGCAGCCCAGAACTTCCAACACCCAGGCCACTTCCTCATCCTCCGGCGGTCTCCACGCGGCCATTGAGTCGCGGCCGAGACAAAATTAAATACGCAATGATTGCGGTACTATTTTTCCACTGTTGATGCATTGAAATGAATGAAAACATCACATATATTTTTTTGTGCTATATATCACATAGATCCACGGCATCGTAACCAAAACCTGACATCATCACAATGCAATTCCCGAGATCTCACGGACAGCCCCTACAGAAACCTCGAGAAGTGCAACAAATGTCCAAGATATAAAATGGCCGATCGTCAAAATTGAACGGTACGATGATTCCCATATAATTTGTTTTGTTCACAGTTCATGCGTTTTGACAAAATTGAACGGTACAACATTGAACGCTACAATGCTTCCCGTAATATGTTTTTTTTGTCCACTACTCATGCATTTCAATGAAAACATCACATATATTTTTCGTGTTATACATCACATAGATCCACTGCATCGTAATAAACAAACACTGACATTACCAAAATGCAATTCTCGAGATCTCACGGACAGCCCCTACAGAAACTTCGAGAAGTGCAAGAAATGTTAAAGATAACTGTTTGCCAACCGTCACTTGTTTCCTCCGTGCACAATGCATCTTGTCTTTCCGTTCACGTCTGAGCCCAGAAAAGAGGTAAAGAAGTAAAGAGGTGCACTATGCTTGTTCCGTGTTGCATCATCATGGACTTCGAAACTGAGAACACAAGTCATGAGTTTGACACTTGGCTACGCACTCACACTTCGAAACTCGAAGCACAACTGCTAAGTTTGACACTGGACATGGGCACCATTGTCGCCGAGACCTGCAAACTGAACAGTGAAGCTTGCAATGAACACGTCAAAGCAACACATTTCAAAGAAATCTGGTACCGTGAATTCCCGACTAAAACCACATGTTGTTCATTTGAATAGACGATTTCCCACACAGTTTGCCAACAAAAACAAGCAAAAGCCGGTACCATGATGCAATAAACTACATCCGTCATCTTCACGAGTTCAAGGTAAGCGAGCATCACGCACATTCAAATCACCTCAGCAGCATAGAAGACTCTGCAGAATGCCAAGTCCTTCAAAAGACAAACTGTCACAAGAAACATGCAATTTGTAAGTAAAAACTTCAAGTGTGACACCTGTTGATCAAGCGCAATGGAAGATGTCACTTTCCCAATCGCATCAGATGATAAACAACCTATATACGGTCCCGCGCATCAATTCGCAGAACTCTGTGTTTCTCTCGCATGACGTCCAGGATTGTCCACATCGCCAACAACAGTTCCACATGTTGTTAACAGATGGTGAAAAACAAATGGCCTCACAGAGACCCGTGAAGCAGAGGGATACATGCACGGACAAATCCTACAGCACGTTGTCTCTCCACATCACTGGATGGCAAAAAAAAAACAAATGGCCTCACAGAGGCCCGAGAAGCAGAAGGATACATGCACGGACAGACCCTGCAGCACGTTGTCCCTCCACATCACTGGATGGCATACGCAGTCGGCATCACTGTATAATACAGTGTGCCGTCCGGCCCCACTTTCTCCGCAGACAACTTGTCGAACAATCGAAAGTATCCCGGAAAGTGCTCGAATTGCCACAGTTTGCCTTCAGCCTTAGACGACAACATCCGAAAATGCACAAAACTGAAAAACAATCATGAAACATCAAAGAACACAAAAAGATACAAATACGGCAAATAACAAACACGAACAAACACCCAATCCAAAAGCAGCAAATGCTAAGAGACCACCAAATTCAACACACCCACGGGTGTGAAGACAATTTCGTGTGCTTCCAACTCCTTGGCAGAAGCACCCGATGGATCACTTTGCTGTGCTCGCACAATGGCCTGCATTCACATGCCCAAGGAACACTATCAAACATGACGTACAATTGAAAATGGACCACGTTGTGAACTACATGTCCGCACCTCCGTCGCCGACGGCTTCAAGCCCCAACGACCGCCCCAATGCGGCTCGATCTCCACACGTTCCTCGAAAAGGCTCACCGCATCGGCAGCACTCAGACCTACCCACGTCCGCAGTTCTGATAAGACCATCGCGAGTTCAGAACGGGATCAAATTGCAAGTGACGAGGTCTCACGGACAGGCCCTACAAAAACCTCGAGAACAGTTTCTTGAGCCCCGGGGGGCAGCGATGTTTTCAAGGTTGAAACTCAAAAAATGCCAAGAATTCGATCGGCCCGACTGTTCTTTCAATCGAAATGATGACATTTTGACACTAACAGCACACAGTGGCTTCAAATTCTGACGGTCCTTCACTTGAAAAAAACCAGGATCCCAGTGCCACCTCAGCATTTCGCGTCGATCTGAGAAAACAAAGACATGTTCCAGACGGCACGGAAAGAGCATACTTCAAAGACATCTTCTAGAGACCAGACACCAGCTGCATGTATGCTTTGAGGATCACAGTTGGGACGCCGCTCTTTTGGAAAGCTTTCTCCATGTCATCTCCAGATCGCAGATCTTGGCCTCCACGAGCCTATACGAGCGAAGTGCCTCCAACGACATGGCGGCACACTTGAAAAGAGAAAGGCTATGTCTCAAATTTCCAATGACTACATTCAAATCTTGAGATCTCATGGACAGTCCCTTCAGAAATCTCGAGAAATGCAACAACCGTTGGGGGTGTCTTGTCAAGCATGCCTACACTATTTGCTCATGCTGCATGGTATTTTGTTTCCCCATGCGTGACTCTTGTCTTGTCCATTTCCTGCTATCTGAGCCCAGGAATGTTTGATTCACATCTATGGAGCAAAGAGGTCAACAAGGTCTGCACGTGAAACAATGAATTCCAATGGAGCAACACAAAGCATACTCGCTGAAGCTCGAGACTGGGATCGCGACTCCGAAGCTTGCGATAAGAAAGCACCATCCTCTGGCGAATGACCTACAAGCTCAAGACTCAACTGCTGCTTCACGAACAACGTCTATCAAAGAATGGCGAACATCCAAACAATACACATGCTATATATAAATACATCAACTGCACTGCGAAACCAGCATCAGGTCAGTTTCATTGTCAACACGACACAGCAAGTCGATCATCAGTCAACTTCACAGCGAAGTGCATTTCTCTTTTTCATCAAAGTAAATGCTGTGTGCAGAGATCGAGAGATGACAGTCAACGAACGTGCCGGCTCCAGTGTTGGTCTAATGTCAGTTTTACGGGATGCCTTTGAAGTCAGGTAGATGTTTTACATGTTCTAACTCTAACTTCATGACGCAACGCCTGCTCCCCGCTCGGACAGTCCCTACTGCGAGAAACATACGTCAGGTCATGTTTTACATCTTCTAACTCTAATTTCATGATACAATGCCTGCTCCCCGCTCGGACAGTCCCTACCCCGAGAAACATACGTTGGATCACGTTTTACATCTTCTAGAGACCAGACACCAGCTGCATGTATGCTTTGAGGATCACAGTTGGGATGCTGCTCTTTTGGAAGGCTTTCTCCATGTCATCTCCAGATCGCAGATCTTGGCCTCCACGAGCCTATACGAGCGAAGTGCCTCCAACGACATGGCGGCACACTTGAAAAGAGAAAGGCTATGTCTCAAATTTCCAATGACTACATGTTGGAGAACATCATCGGGCAGTTTCAAATCTTGAGATCTCATGGACAGTCCCTTCAGAAATCTCGAGAAATGCAACAACCGTTGGGGGTGTCTTGTCAAGCATGCCTACACTATTTGCTCATGCTGCATGGTATTTTGTTTCCCCATGCGTGACTCTTGTCTTGTCCATTTCCTGCCATCTGAGCCCAGGAATGTTTGATTCACATCTATGGAGCAAAGAGGTCAACAAGGTCTGCACGTGAAACAATGAATTCCCATGGAGCAACACAAAGCATACTCGCTGAAGCTCGAGACTGGGATCGCGACTCCGAAGCTTGCGATAAGAAAGCACCATCCTCTGGCGAATGACCTACAAGCTCAAGACTCAACTGCTGCTTCACGAACAACGTCTATCAAAGAATGGCGAACATCCAAACAATACACATGCTATATATAAATACATCAACTGCACTGCGAAACCAGCATCAGGTCAGTTTCATTGTCAACACGACACAGCAAGTCGATCATCAGTCAACTTCACAGCGAAGTGCATTTCTCTTTTTCATCAAAGTAAAGGTTGCGTGCAGAGATCCAGAGATGACAGTCAACGAACGTGCCGGCTCCAGTGTTTGTCTAATGTCAGTTTTACGGGATGCCTTTGAAGTCAGGTAGATGTTTTACATGTTCTAACTCTAACTTCATGACGCAACGCCTGCTCCCCGCTCGGACAGTCCCTACTGTGAGAAACATACGTCAGGTCATGTTTTACATCTTCTAACTCTAATTTCATGATACAATGCCTGCTCCCCGCTCGGACAGTCCCTACCGCGAGAAACATACGTTGGGTCATGTTTTACATCTTCTAACTCTAATTTCATGACGCAACGCCTGCTCCCCGCTCGGACAGTCCCTACCGCGAGAAACATACGTCAGGTCGCAGTGTAGTATACCGTCGAAATAAGATGACCATGTCGAACAAAGACATCCGGTAAATCTAAACAACGCTACATGGCAGCTGACGAAGCTCCCCGCCAGCAATGCTAAGCAAAAAGATCAGCAGACATTTCATCTGCAGACAAATGCTGTGACACCCAAGGGATGCACTGCCATGAAAGTCTTATGCACATACTTCAAGGCCTTCCGCTCGTCCACGCAGGCCTGACCTTCAAACTCCCGCATCCGCTGCACCAAAAGAGGATTGTGTTCGTGCAGAAACTTTTCGAACACATTGCGAGGCGGCAAATCCACTATCCACAGATCTTCCAGCTTGGTTGGCCTTGACAACATCACGTACATAGCCAAGCCATAGTCCGCTTGACTCATCCAGGACGGTTTGGACATGAAAGCAAGCAGCCCTTGTCTGGCAGTGATGCCCTGCAAACCGTAGTGCGTGAGAACGTGACGAGGTGCCAGTGGCAACTGTTTGCGATGAACCTGCATAAATTGATTGCCCCCAAGAGGAAGATCCCAGACCTGATCACATGTAACGGGACGCAGCCAAACGTGTCCTTTCGGAGCACTGCCATCTGGCAATTCAATGGCACGATATTCCGGGTCATCGATCTCCACCAAGACGGCCAACGGCTGATATTGCAAAACGACACGTCCACTGCTGTTTGAAATTACAGGTTCCTTCGGGTGCAACTTAATGGAGCGAACAATGACCGGCAACTCTCGACTCCGCATCGGCATGTCCAAAATGCAACTAACACGTGCTGCCATCCCTTCATACAAAGGGCAAATGCCCATGAGATACTGCGTTCTTGTCATGTTCACAACCTGCAATGCCTTCAGGCTCTGCTCCCTTGTCAAATCTGTGGGCCCCGATGCACGATCAACAGCTTGCACCAAGAAAAGAGTCGTGGATCTCTGTTGAGCTTCCCAAGCCACCCGCAAATGCTGTAAACGAGCAACCTGTTCCCACGCCAGGCCGCCCCAGTGAGCACTCAACAACCTTGAGCGCAAGGAATTGTCAGAAAAAAGTTGCTCTCGGCTGATCACTCGAGATTCCAAAGCTTCCCACAATGCATCCTCCAGATGTTCGCCTCGCCGCATGGACAAAAGAATCCTCACAAGCTGCTGTCCGGATGCACACTTCGAAAAACGACCGGATCCAGTGAAGCGCACAACTCGCTGGAGCGATTGCTTGAACGCGATCCGTCCAAGTTCTGAGGCATTGCTGGTGCGTTCAGCCGCCTCCTTCTCCACGGCCTCTTCGGCATCGCTTTGGTCTTCTTGGTCTTGAGGCGGTGCAGGATCAGTAGCTCGTGGCGCATCCACCCATTCGCACAAGGATGCTTGCGCAGTGGGTCGCAATTGTAGAAAGTCAGCAACTTGCACACCAATGGGCACCTTCCCAAACCACTGCTTCAAGTAGTCGCCCATGTCAAGCATAAGTCGAGCTTGTCGAACAGTGGCAAATCGAAGCGAAGCAGCATGGTACACATCCGAAGGAACCATCGACAACTCGTCCAACAGCATAGCCATGATGCCTTCGATCTTCTTTTCGATCGGGCTGCCCTTGCTCTTCGCCGAACGCAAGGAGCGGCGATCCAAGCTGCTGCTCTTGTGCACATTGGCCCACTTGTGCAAAGTTTTGGCCTCAGGCCCCAGGAGGCGAACAGCAGCGTGAGTCGGAGCACCAGCAACATAACCATCCTGTCCAAAGAAGCGTCGAAAGAGTGGCCTCAATACTTTGCTGTATGCATACGTCTTTCCAGATCCACCAGCTCCGAGCCAAAGACAATTGCACCTTTCATTGCACGCACCATCCGCAATGCAATTGTCCGGATTGCTTCGGTTAAGCCACATCTGTTCCATGACCCAAGCAATGGGCGCAATGGCCAAAATCTGTTGGCGATTCAGACTGTGCTCCACAAGCAAGGCAGAAGCATAATCACTCGGACCCACATTCCTCTGGTTCAGCTCCACCAAAAAGGCATCTTCCGTCTCTGGCAAAGGCCGAAAAACATGATCTGCCATCATCTCAGTATCCTCTTCACCACCTGCTGCATGAAGACCCACCAACGAGAACACAACAAGCAAACGAAATTCCCCCCCCGAAAAAAAAAACAACAGAACTGACATATTCAGCAAATCAGCTATATGTTACAACGACAAAAAAGAAAAACAAAACAAAACTCATCCACAACCACAAATTAAATCAAAAAAAACAAAGAAAAGAATCAGTAAAGCTCCGCCTCCAACGCAAAATTCCAAATATTGCTTCTGCAGCATCAAAGACCTCTGGGCTTCGGCGAACGTCCAATTACGCTCCAATCCACTGGCTGCGTTGCCTTTGATTCCCAAATCAATCCTCGCATCCGGAACACCTCCCAAACCATTCACAAAGTCACGCAAACGCTGCAACGCATCCTGCAGCACCGCAGCTACATGATTGTTTGTCGGTAACATATGTTCTCGTCAACAAGGCCATATCACAAAAGCTCGGTACCACATACTGGTGATCATGGAACGTATCATATCCTTTTAGTAGACATTTTCCACACGGATGACTACTTACAGCTTGCTAGCATGATGCAGCAAACAACGCATGTTGCAACACAAGGCATATCATGCTTTATTCGGCACATCTCACACCCGCTGAAAGATGAATCATCAACAACGTTACACAACAACAGCTTAGTACCATGATGCTGCGAAAAACATATATCATCTCCTTTTATCAGGGAAATTCCCACGAACATCGCCCAAAAAGCTCGATACCATGTCCTGCAATACAGATGGCTTTCGATTGCCCAACACCTTCATCCAATCCTCTTCCCGAAACATAGCTTCGTGCAATGCTTCTCCATCCACCGGCCACTGCGCACGTTCCAAGTTGTCCAACTCTTCTTGCAATAGCAGATCATCCTCGACCTCGTGTCCTTCTATAACCGGCGGTGCCGAATCATCTTCCAGGTCCTCCTCCTTGTCCAAAGCAGTCATCAAAGCATAACGCTCAGCTGTCCGACGACTGCTGCTGAGACGACGTGCAGCACAGTGCTGCTGGAAACGCTCCAACCACGATGTCTGAATATAGGCCAAGAACTCTTGCGATGTCAACTGAGTGTAATGAAACGGAACGGACAAGTCTGCGAACCAGGCAACGCGCTCACAGATGCGCAGCATGTCATGATAGCGACAATCCGCTCCTTCTGCTCCACCGAACAGCTTCTCCAAACATCTAAAAGCACTGCTGGTGTCACCAATGCCAGCAACATAGGAACGCACTGATGCAACATCCCGGATGACCGGAGCAGACAAACCGGCCAAAACTCTTTCCTCCGCCAAACACCTCCTCATTGACATGTAACTTTTCCAGTGCTTCCAATGCAGCGTAAAACGAGCAAAAAGAACGCCTTGCTTTGCATCTTCTCCCATGGTGTGGCAAGCAAAGCATCGATGTGACAAACTGCAATCTCCAGAACACGTTGGGAATGGAAAAGATAATCCCAACATGTGAGCTGCGTACTTCTGCACCTCAGCATCCTTCGGAAGGTGCAAATCTGAAGGCACCACAACACTGTCATCTGCTGCTCTCACTTCCTGCGAATTTGATTTCAGCTCAACACAGAAATAAACCACTTCACCCGAACTTGTTAACACTTTCCAAATATCAAACTTAAAGACACCAAACAAAGTAAGAACAAAAAAAACAGAACCACCCACCGCAAGCAATCCTGAACGGAGGAACTGAAGTGGGCATAGTGCTCATCAAAGTCGAAAAACTTCACTCCATCCACCTTGCCGGCTTTGTTCCTCGAAACTCTGCGAACGAAGCGAGAATACATCAAAAGAGACATGCATTGCAACAAAACCGAAGAGCCCCTGTGCAAGTAATCGTCTTTCTGGTTGAAGTTCACATGCACCTGCTAGACTCTAGGCACATCACCTCCCTCATCAACAACCTCCGCAAACTCATCCACCACCACTGGTGCCTCTCCTTCGGGGTCAGGAAGCACATCCAAGGGCGAGCCATTGAGATGCGGCCTAGCTTGCAAAACCTCCTCCATGTCCTCATGTCTGCAACGCATGATTGCATACGGCACATAGCGGAAGAACATGTTGTAGCCACGATACGTCACCAGTTGCTCCTGCTCGAATAACATCTGATACGCCATTTCACCGTTGGATTTGGCCACACAACGATTCATTCCAAAGGCAAGTCTTCTCAAAATCGTCAATGCACGCCTCTGTTGCCCTGTCATAGTAGGGTCCCTGTCCCCCTCCAGGGGCTCCTGCTCGGAGCCCGCTGCAGCTTCCTTTGCCCTTTCCCTTTCCTCCTCTTCCAATCGCTGCACTCCTTCAATGTTGCCGTTTACTGAGAACCAAATTAAGGCGCACACCAAAAAATAATCTATACCATCTCATTTCATTGTAGGAATTCCCATACAAATCCTCAAAAAAGGAGTCGGTATCGTGATGTTCCAAATCAGATATGTTACATTACTTTACTAAGGACATTTGCACAAAATACTGCAAAACAAAGTCGGTAAGAAAAAATATCGTCAAAAATTTCCGTTTCGACCGCCCCAAAGCAAACAGTCCTGCATACAATTCAGGTAACATACTCTGCGAAATTTCAAACTTCTTTGCAGCATACTCACCAGTGTAAAAACCAACATTCATCATATCTCTTGCAAGGTCCACCAGAATGCGATCAAGCGCCTTTCTCATCGTCTGCATCTTCTTATGCTCCGTGTCCAAAACACGACCCATGCATTGCTTCTTCGGCGGCGGATCCGAAGCATCCAACTCAGTCGACACAGGTTGCTCTGCATGTGAGGCATCAGCACCCGATATAGCATCCGAAGACGAACCAAACGCCGGGCGTTGAAGTTCCATCTCCTGCAATCCACTCCCGGACAGTTCCAACAGAGAAGATGCAGAAGCAGGAACTTCGACTCCAGGCTCCTGGTCTATGCTCCCATCACAAAACTTCAAAAGGTCTGCTTCTGAAAAATTGCGTCCAATGTACTTGACATCCACATTGCATCGCATCACTGCTTGCGCCACCGGATTCGACATCCCTTCAAAAGGGTGATCACGCCGAGCTTGAAACACATGCGGGTTTTCGTTTTTGAACTCTTCAACCTCCTTCAAATCTACCGTCTCATATTGCAACCGAGAAAAACCTGCTTTCGCAACTCGAGGCCAACCTTTCCGACATAACACTTTCGGCTTGTCCTCCTTGCCCAGAATCATTTCAACGTGAAAGCAACCAAAGCGACACCCACGTTTGCCTTTCACGGCTTTCCTCAGCCAAAGCAACATGTCGTGTTTACATATACATACTTCTTCACGTTGACAGCCAACTATGCACGTTGTACACTCCAGACGTCTCTTTTGCATTCTACACAAAAATGTTTTACGCAAACTGATACCGTAACAGCAACCGTGCAACATGTAAACGAACAACAAAAGCCATGACCAAGCCGAAACCGCACGTAACTCAAAAATAACGACAACAAACAACCACACCCACAACCACAACCACAACCAAAACAACAACCACGACAACAACAACAACAACAACAACCACCACAACTTTGCCAAGCTCATTGCGAGGAACTTTTTGAAACATGATTTCGTGCATTTGTGAAAATGATTCTGGATCACCAAACGTCTGTAATCCTCACAGAATTTTATTCTTCCACTCAAGACCATCTCCCGCAGAACGTTCACTGCGTCGCAGATACTTGGGTCGCAAAGAAGCATAGCATCCGGTCAATGTCAAAACCTTGCCAGCCACGGATCCGCCCAACTTCAAGGCTTCCAATTCGTGTCCATCCGGCTCCGTAGGCACCAAAGGCGCGGATTCATACTGGTGACCACATTCTGATCGCTGACGTTCATTCAGAGGCAGTGGCTGTGTCGGACTGCTCAACTGCTCCGACAAGGCCAATTGAGAATCATACTGAAAACGCTGCACAGCCTCCAAAACACGACGACTCCACCGCTGCAACTCAACGACCAACTCACCATGCTGCACCCGATGAATCAGTTTCCGCAAGCGATCTCCCAGGTCGTGTCCCAGCAAGATAATAAGCATGTGGGGGTGCAAAGAACCACGACCCTGAGTCTCCAACGGGCCGTTCAACGCCACAATATCACCGAAAACACCTCCTTGCAGGGAACTCGCAATGCCATCTTCGAAGGTTGCTGCCACGCCAACACGAAAACTTCCCTTGGTCAAAGGTGGAAGAATGCCCAACACTTCCTCACAGAACAAATCCATCATCAAGGCAAAGCAACGCGCTTGAGCGACGGGATCGCTCGCGACAATCCGTCGCATAGCAGCTGCGCTGGGCAATTCGGGCATCTCCGCCTCCCAGTCCAAATCAATTTTGCACTCTTCCACTTTGACATTCTGCAGGTGCAATTGAAGTAGCAAGGACGAGCGCATATCTGCGATGTTGGGCGTGACGAACAGATGCGCAGAACCATAATGCCACCCAGCCGCATGTCCACGCAACCGGATCTGGCTGCGGTGCCCTTCCATGCCAATGATGCTCGAAGTTGCCTGAAGCACTCCTCCCAATGCTCGCTTCAAGGCCACATCCACCTGCGGATCTCGCAGCAACTCCCTGAGGTCCGCATTGTCTCCATGCAATGCCATTGCCTTGAGCAATTGGTCCGTGTTGACTTCAGAAATAACACGACAATGTTTGCCAAAGCCACGACGCATCACATGCGCTTTCGTCGCACGCATCAACTGTAATCGACGCTGCACGTCGTACATCACTGGAAGCAACGTCTCCTGCCCGCATACTTGGAACAAAGGCGACCAAACTCAAAAACTGAAACCACCAAAACACAACCACCAAACCATCCTGGGGAAACAGAAAACTCAGCAACAATTGAATAAACCAAATCCAAAGCACTGAAAGCGACCATCTTGGCAACAAGGCATCACCCTCACTGTAATGCAGTTCTTCCCGAAGCAACAAATATCGAAACACTTCTGTTGCATCCATGTTGGCTTCACGCTTCAAAAAAGGCAAGCCATCACCCCATGGAAACAAATCCGGAAACGACATGCCCCAGGTGGCCGGATCAAACATCGACAGCGGTTCGTCTCTGGTCGGAACAACCAACTTGGAAGGTTTAACTTGGAACATAGCTGATTCCACATTGCGCTCATTTTCAGCCGTGCCACGGGCAATCTTCTGAATTCTCCGAATTTTCTGAAGTGTTCGCCTCTCTTGGGCTCCTTCACGACCCAAAAGTTCACCAGGAACAGATGCATCCGGGGCCGGCATTTCATTGTTGATGCGGTTGCGAAGCACATCGGCAGCATCGCTCCTTCGCCGCCCACCCTGTCTCACACAGACCTCCTCCACATCCTTCAACACACGCACCCACTTGTTCTGTTCATCCGCACCATCGTTCAAGCCAACAATGGAAGACATCAAATGACCTGCAATGTTTGCGTGAGTGAGTTTTCCATATTTACTTTCACACACACAAAACAAAATGGTTCCGAAACGCAGACGTTACAAAGCAAAACTCGATATTAACATCGTTTTCGATCGCTTCATTCGGACAGTCCCTATCATGAAGCAATGAATACAACCAAATTCACTTCGGAACCCTGCCTGGTGCATCTAGGCCTTCACGCTGCTTCATTCGGACAGTCCCTACCATGAAGCAATCACCTGCACCTGCAATGTGTGCGCGAGTTTTCCATATTTACTTTCTGCCACACAAAACAAAATGGTTCCGAAAGGCAGACGTTACAAAGCAAAACTCGATATTAACATCGTTTTCGATCGCTTCATTCGGACAGTCCCTACCATGAAGCAATCAATAAAACCAAATTCAATTCAGAACCCTGCCTGGTGCATCTAGGCCTTCACGCTTTTCTTCACTCGCATCGTCCATCTTCTCATCATCCGACGCGTCTTGTCCCTGTGCGTCTGCAGGACCTCGCTGCAGCAACTCCTGCGCCAATGCAGAATCCTCCGCAGTTTCCAGGACACAGCCCTCCAAAAGATCATCACTGCCATCTCCCAGTTCCACCCCCGCATAGAAAGGATTCGTTTTCCTCAAACATTCAACAGCGGCAGTGTACTCATCTCTCGGGGCACGCAACAAAGAAGAGCCCTTGACTGCATCCTTCTGGCTTCCAACCAAAACAAACAAAACTGCATCTTGCATATCAACATCTTTTGGAGGGAGCGTGGTCAGCACTGAAGACGGCTTCGCTTGCGGGAGAAAAATCGAATTCCCTACAAAGCCATGCTGACGTTCCTCACGCGACAAATGCCCGGGCTGCAATACCACAACCTGCATGCACGCCCGTGTCATCGGCAAAAGTCGCTTCGTGGCCGAGGCCAGGCCACGCAATGCGGACAGTTGCTCGCCCATCCAAAGGTCATTGGCCAAGCTGTGCCGAGGCAACGTCAGACTAGATGACATCAACGAGCCCTTGCAGTCACTGCACACCAGGCAAGGATCCTGCAATTGCAGTGACATCCGAACATACTACTAGAACTTCACCCAAACAAAGTCGAGTAATCCGATGCCGTGAGCACAGAAAATTAGCTACAAACAAGTGGTATACCGTGATCCCTCAATGAAAGCAACAAACCCGTGCAGTCAGTGGTAAGGGTCCTTCAAGTCCACCGGCATCCGACGCTTGTGTAAGAGCAAATGCTCCCCCTTGCAGTATGGATGTTCAACAGCCGAAGCATGCAGAGCCTCCAAAGGGATATTCGGCCATCTTCGACTGTATCTTTCAACTCCAAGAATTCGACACAAGCGTTCCTGTTGACCACACGGAATCACATCCACCGCACCGTTCTCCAACTCGGTGCTGCCAGCCGGATCTTGGAATAAGATTAACATCTTCAGCTGCTCCCGCCAAAACCTGCGAGCACACACCACGCATGCAGTTTCAAAGCGACCTCCTTGCTCGGGCTGTCGAAGCCTTTCATCAGCATTCTCCATGAGGCGACGTTGCGAAGCAAAGCTGGTGACCTGATGCATCACTTCATCAAAACATTATCAGCAAATTTCACTACCATGATATCTCGCATCAAACATGTTACACTACCCTACTCCGATCGTGCTAACAGAAATACAAAACGCAAAAAACTCAGCACCACGACGCCGTGAATTAAAACTATTATCTCCGTTTATGATACAAATTCCACACAAATAGCTACAAAAAGCTCAGCACCCCGATCCCACAAAAGGTCAGCGCAGACAAGAAACTGTGGGGCCCAGGTGTGTCAATAGTCCAATGACCTTCTTACGATACTCGATGAGCACACGGCTGGCATCGGCACCTCCACTGTGTTTCTCCACTAAATGTTCCAAAAACTCTTTCTGTCCGCCAGTTCCAAAATTGCACAGTCTGCACTGGTAACGCTCCAGCGGATTCTGAACATCATCATCATCATAAGACCATAACACAAGGCGAGACAGCGCTTCACCAATAGCAGTGATAGCTGGACTGCAGTCCAACATCTGCGCAACTTCACGCAGCTTGATCTCAAACTTCATATTCACATTTTCCAACACAGCAAATGCTTTCTTGGCAACTTGCAAATTCTCTGGCAAGGCCTCCATAGCAATGCCCGCAGCAACATCCATCTCCACATCTGCCTCCTCAGCAACTTCCACACATGAAGAGCCAGTGCTGTCAGGAACAACTGCATTACCATCCCCTTCCACATCCACCTCCGGAACACATTCCACAACAGAAGTGCCAGCGCCGAAAAGGATGGCACTCAATGGCACAAAAGCGGCCTTGCAAAGAGTTCCTTCAGTCCACCCAGGAATCGACTGCATCAAGTTCCGTTCCGTGTCGGATCTCCATTTGATACCATTCTCTGCATCATCCGAAGCTTCCAAACAATCCAACTTCAACTCCTTGATGTTGTCCACATCGCCAGGGAATGCAGCTTTCATGGAACGACAGCGCACCTTCTTCTCCTTCTCCAAATACTCCGACACCCGCTTGAACAGCACACCGTCTTCATCTGAAGTCGGCAACCGCAAGCACTGCTGCACTTCCTGCCATTGTCGTATATCCAGTTCCAATTGAACGACAACCGGAGACACGCCGCTCCTGTACACACGATGTCATAATCAGTATGCAATTCCTCGAGATCTCACGGACAGCCCCTACAGAAACCTCGAGAAGATATCTCTGATGATCTCGAGATATATTGGCTACCATGATCACGCGCATGATGTATAAATAACATACATTATCTCATTCATCGCGCAAACAAAAAAAAAGCTCGGTACCATTATGCTTTACATGAGCAATTCTGGAGATCTCACGGACAGCCCCTACAGAGACCTCAAGAGATGCAACAAATGTTGAAGATATTTGTTTGTCGATCCTTGGTATTTCACAAACATGATGCCATCTATGACATATGTCATGTCATTTTATTATGGACATTTCCCCATAAATGGGACAAAACAACTCGGTACCATGATGCCGTGTATAACACATGATAATTCATTTTAGCATGCAAATACCCACATAAATTGCCAAAAAAAACTCGGTACCATGATGTTGTTATTCGCAAAGGTGACAAAGGTAAGAAAAGTACACAAAACACACAACAACGACACGCACTCGTCCTGGAATCACGGAGTTCTCCGACCGTCACTGGATCGTGACGTGAGCGCATACCTTGCAATGCAGGCGTCTGGCGAGGATGAAGTAACTGCGTCGGCAAAAGCCAAGCAAACTGTAAACACTTCTTGTTCCCATAGCGAGCAGATGGAAAACATTCGGACCAATAGCACACCTCCACGTCCTGGTCAAATCTTTCCCAACCATATCTCCGCATCAGGCATCGCAGGTACGTCGCGTCTGCAGCATCCAACTTACCTCGACGCCGGCGCACCTCGCCCTCATCATCCACCACCAACGCTTTCGTGCCCCACAGGATGCCAAGGACCACCTGCAAGCAACGCAAAGACCAAACAACCGCGAACCGGCAAGACACGACAAAAAAAAACTAACGCAGGCCATACAATAGTTTCGACAACCACTCACCTCCACCACATTGTCACGATCCTCATAACCACCAGAACTGTCCCATTCACAGGCAGCTGTAAGTGTGTGGACATCCCACAAACGGCTCGCCACTTGCAACATGTCCGCGTCGATGGTGAACCCCACCAAACGACACCATTGAAGTCGTCTTTCTTCCGATACACTCAGCAAAACACAGGACAACAATGCCACGACCTGATGCCGCAGCAAATGCTCCATGCCAATGGAGGCGAAGTAACCTGGTAAATCTAATAAATCAACAGAATCCGTGACAGCTTTGCTGGGCCACGATTGCTGCACTTCATCGAAAGTAGCAAGAAGCGGCAACGTCGCATCCACCACACGAGCATCCAAAGAAGCAAGCGAAAGATGCAATCCCTCCACCTGACCCATGGTCTTGTCGGCCAAAACCGCTAAAATACGCATGCGATCTTTTTGTTCTGGAACAGCATCTCGAAGCAATGTAGTATCAGGCGCCGAAGGACTTTCCAAACATCGTTTCAGCCAGCCCCACAAGACACTTGCACCAGATGCAAGGGTATCATCGTGACACGGCTCCTGCTAAAAAAAAAAAAAAAAACAGCCGCACTTGACGTTTTTGCAATGCCGACAGTCTACAATTCAATTCTCGAAATCTCACAAACTTGCACCCAACCTCCATGGAAGTCGCCAAGACTTTCTTCAACGAATTGCGCAGCTCTGCTACAGGCAGCCAAGCGTTGCCCGATCGTGTCTCCACACCAGCCGCAGTAGCCAGGACTCGAAGCTCGTCTCTTCCTATTCCGTACAAAGCACGACTGAGCCACTCCTCACCCTCTGAAACAGCTCCAAGGTGAAGTTCTTCCAATTTGGCAGCCGATGCTTCTTCCACCTACAGCATGGAACACACCGCCACCACAAAACAACCATCACCCTACAAATTTTTCCCGCTGCTCATGCATATCAATGAAAACATAACACATAGATCCACTACATCACAAACGAACATGGGCATGATCACTATGCAATTCTCAAGATCTCACGGACAGCCCCTACAGAGACCTAAAGAGATGTAACAAATGTTGAAGATATTTGTTTGTCGATCCCTGGTATGTCACAAACATGATGCCATGTCTCACAAACATGCGAATTCGGTCACAAAAACAACTCATGTCACAACACATTTTTTGGTTGAACCCAACCTCCGTGGAGGGTTCCAAGACTTTCATCAACGAGTTGCGCAGCTCTGCTACAGGCAGCCAATTCCGGTTGGAATGTGTCTGCACACCACCCGCAGCAGCCAGAACTCGAAGCTGACGAGCTGACATTTCCGACAAAGAACGACTGAGCCACTCCTTGCCCTGTGAAACAGCTCCAAGGCGAAGTTCTTCCAATTCGGCAGCCGATGCCTCTTCCACCTACGGCATCCGACACACTGCCACCACAAAACCACCATCATCCTACAACATCGCACCATGTGACAAACATTCAAATTCGGTCACAAAAACAACTCATGTCACAACACATTTTTTGGTTGAACCCAACCTCCGTGGAGGGTTCCAAGACTTTCATCAACGAGTTGCGCAGTTCTGCTACAGGCAGCCACGCCTTGCCGGATCGTGTCTCCACACCACCCGCAGCA